ACGATTAATCCGAACATTAATATTTCGAATAGTTCGTCAACTGGGCTTATTAATTCCAGACTCATTAACTAAGTAAATGAATCGGAATTAAATCTGAAAACTTATTCGATTGCTAATCGAATAACATATCGACTATTAGTCGAACTTAGAATCTGATTGACTGAATTTGCTTGAACTTAAACATGAACATAATTATTTATTAACAAAAGCTAGCTTAATATTTAAAAGCTAGTAATTCCTTTATTAATAAAACTCGGGGTGTTACATTTATGTTTAATGTATATGTTATAAGTTAGAAAAAATATTATAATATAACACAAGTAAGTCGCACAAATAACAAGTGACATACTAAAATATATATATAATATATATTTTTTATAAAAAGTATTTAAATTTTCTAACTATTTTTTATCATTAATTTTAAATTTTAAGAAAAAAAAATTAGTAAGCACTCGTGTATTACACGAGTGTCATACTAATAAATAAATAAACACCAAATGCATGCATCATTAGTATAGTCAAATCACATGCTATTTTTACACTATCATGTCATTGCAAAATTGCTCATCTAAGTTTCTACACTTGCAAATGATGAGCTTTGCAGGTGACTATGCGTGTAAATGTGTATAAACAGCAGCACATGGGACCAAGTCCAAATAAATACCGTCCACTACAAAAAGCCCATTAGAAGCAAATTGATTAATTAATTTTAAAATTCCGTCCACTACAAAAAGCCCATTAAAAGCAAATCGAAACATAGAGAAAAAAAAAATAAGAAGAGCCAAAAGGCGTAATCAGAGAGCCAAAGTTTTTCTTTTTTCCCTCTCTCTCGCTCACTAGGGTTTGCAAAGAGAACTGTTAATCTATCTTCCCGCCAAGTACACGAAGCGGGATATCTTCGTCTCGCGAACAATGGCTTTTTGGGGTAAGCCTGTTCTTCTTTTCCACCTCTTGGATAGTTTGTTGTGCGTGCTTGCTTGCTTGTGTGTGGAACATTGCTTAATTTGTTTTTTTTTTTTTTTAATTTTTGTTTTAGTAAAACATACTGTTGTCTATATGTTTTTCTCAGGCATCGAGGTGAAACCTGGGAAGCCAATCACTCACAATTGCGAAAAGGCTAGAGGAAGGCTTCGAATTTCTCAGGTAAATGTTTGAAGTTTTTTTTTTTCTGGATTTGCATTTCGAATGAGGATTTGTTGATACACTTTTTTCGAAATTTTATGATATGTTATTAACTGGGATTCTGCCAAAATGTTTATTGCTGTAATGGATTTGGTGTATTAGGCAACTCTTGGAATTGGAGATGCTACAATCAGTTCAACAGTGCAGTGTAATATAGGTACAAGGAGTCCGGTTATGCTCTGTGTGTTGATGCCTGGAAAAATGGAGTTTTTCCATTTAAATTTGGAATTCGAGGAGGCTGACGATGTGGTCTTTTCTGTTATCGGCCCACGAAGTGTGTATCTCACTGGTTATTACGTCCAGAAAATTCAGGGCGTATGTCCGCACAATGATTTGTATCCTTATTTTGTGTTTGTTCTCTTTTTATGCTGATAATGTCGTTTGAGTTTGTTGAATCTTTATTTGATTTGGTTCAAAGCTTCGAATTCTTAGCTTCCTTTACTTCTTTGTTGGGGTGTGAGGTCGGTGAAAAGTCAAAAGCCAGAAAGGAAAAGAAAAAGGAACTTAAAAAAGACCAGCAAAATAAAAAAGCCCTCAAAAAAGGAGGAGAAAACCCACACCATTCAAGCAGACAAAGATAACAACACTGTTCTGGGAGAGGATAATGTGCACGAGGTTGAGGCCTTCACTATTGTGTAAGAACTTTGTGTGTTTGATCTATTGATAATGGTCTTTCCTAATGTTGCATTTTTTTCGTGTTGAGTTTCCTTCTATAGATGAGAAAGAGTGAGCTGGAGCTGAAAGGAATCAGTGACAATGGTTTACAGCATGCTGAAAACCAGACTCAAGAACAACCGGGGTTTGAACTTTTGAACTTAAGGAGAAATATTACATTTTTGACAGTTAGAAATGAAATCAACCAAGAGTTCATGTTGGAACTTGGAAAACAGTATAAGAAGATAATGTTTTGATCTCTAGCAGCGTTATCAAGTGTTTCCACTTTATATCGTTCATTTTAGTAACATAAATATCTTCTTGCAGCATCATGGAAACTGACCACCAAAAGCAGACCATATCAAAGGGGGGGTTAATCATTGAAGAATTAGACAGTGGACCACCTGATGCAAAAGTAGCTGCACCTGGTAAAAAGGTACATTTTTGTCGTCTAGTCATTATATTGGTTATCTTGTTCTTGGTTGATTTTATGATGATGCCACTTACTGATATGATTGAATTGAATTTGAACTCTGATCAGGTCAAAATTTATTACACGGCCATGGTGAAGGACACGGGCCATGTTTTTGATTCGAATGTTGGTAAAGATGCTCTGTATTTTCGGTTGGGCGATGAAGCATTCATTGATGGTTGGAATGTTGGCATAGATGGTAGCTACTTGTGAAGCCTGCTTACTACTTTTTTCTGTATTTATTTATTTATTTATTTATTTTCTTCAGGTTTAATTTGCAATATTTGAACGTCATATCACTCAGGTATGCGTATTGGTGGAAAGAGGAGGCTTATCGTCCCACCTTCAATGGGGTATGTCTTGAATTATCTAAAGGCAGAAACTGCTATATGTGTTGAATTTTTGTCCAGAAGAGTACTTTTTTTTTTCTCCCTTTTTGATCTGCAGTTTCCATCTATGTAACATTTTTTTCGATTGTGGTATCAGTTTTGGAGATAGCGCATTGGAAGAAGATGTTCCACCGAACTCATGGTTGATATACGACATTGAGCTGCTTAGTGTACTAAGATAATCTCGTTTGGTCTTGTCTCATCTTCCATCTTTTGGGTTTTTGCTGCTTAGTGTACGGACATAACCTCTTTTGCTTTGGTCTTTTCTCATCTTCCATCTTTTGGGTTTTTGCTGCTTAGTGTACGAACATAACCTCGTTCGCTTTGGTTTTTTCTCCTCTTCCATCTTTTGGTTTTTTGCGTGAATGGAAAGAGGCGTAGATTGAAATATAAGAAATAGGGTCTAAAGCTAATGGTCCAGCTGAAAATACATTTTAGAATCAGAACAGTTTGATTTTGTTTTGTTTTTTTTCTTTTCGCTTTTATGTTCAAACCTCTATTAACATCTTGATCTTTTTAAAGTATTCGAAATCTCCGTTATGTGCTCAACAGTTTTAGCCATGGGGAAAGTTGATGCATTCCTAGTTTGCATTTGTTTAAATTTTTTTAAGTATTTTATGGAAAAATAGTAATATTTGATGCTTTAAAAAACTTTTCAACTCTTTAATATTGCATGAAAATTTGCATCGGCAGTTGGTTTCCTTTCTTGCTATCTTTTGTAAGTCTTTTGTAAGAGCATACACCTTCTTCACCTGTCCACGTATTCCACCAACTGTTGGTATAGCTGCGCCTTCAAACCTGGCTACTTGAAGAACATGTGGTTATGTTTGTTGAATTGTATAATATATTATTATATCATGAGATGGGCTGCCATACTTGCTGCAAAAAAATTATCGTATTCGAACGAAAAATTCAACGAAAAAGTAGTTAAATAGAAATTTCAACTGACATTTCAATTTTATAAATTCTAGTGGAAAAAATCTAACGGATATTGTAATGAGGAGCAATACTAAAATACTTCATTGGAACTAAAACAATCAATTTTTAAAAGGTTTAAACATTCAGATTATAATTAAAATATATTATCGTTTAATCTTTCGTCTAATTTTTACATAATGTAGCATATCCTTCCTATAAAAGACAGCTTAAGATCATAATGTAGCATATCCTTCCTATAAAAGACAGCTTAAGTACATCTAGACGGGATTAAATTTTGAGTTTCCCATATAGACGAGCCAAAAAGTTAAAATACTTATATACGAACCATTTGAACATTTTTTTTTTTTATCCGAGCTATTAAACTTAGTTTTAATGACACCTCTTTTTCTATCCCATAAATTGCGGCAGTTATAAATTGATTAAGATGTTTTCTTTTATTTTTTAAAACAAAAACTAAAACATGTTGTTTAGATTAAAAAAAAAAAACATTTATCTTACTCAACTTTTACATAAATAGACAAATAGTTAACTTCCAAATTTAGATTTAAAATATATAGTTTATTTTGAATTTGTCTTGAGTTTATGAACCAACTTTTTTACCAAAATTTATATGTAGATTAGTTTAAACTAGTACGAATCTCGTGCGATGCACGAGTGGACAATTTTAAAGCTATTTACTCAACCTTATTATTATATTCGTGAATAAATATAATTAAATAAATAGAATAAAAAACTATAATATAGATAAATAAATAGAATAAAAAATTATTATATATATTAATAAAAACCTCCTTGTAGACAACATTTTTTTGTTTGCCTTGTAAGCACATCATCATCCCCACAAACTAATATTTTCAACCTCTTTCGATTAGTGACACGGGAAAAAACTACATACAACTAACGTGACTAAACACCAGTTTCTTCAAAAACACGCCAACGTGTGATAAAGATTGACCTTAACTCCCAACATGTGATAAAAACTGACTTTAACTTCCAACATGTGATTAATACTGACTCTGCGTTTTGTTAATCCTGACGAAGATTTACCCCAACTCTTGTTAAGTCACATTTGAACTTCACTAAATTGGTCATACCGTTGATCACAATTTTAAACTGGCCAATTGTAAGGCGAAATTAACAATAGTTGCTCTTTAGTGATATTTTTTAATTCCATACACATGTACTTCTTTCACTTTGTCTATCCATACGAACAACCCATATAACTTCAGTTAATGAGATTTAGTGGATATTGTTGATTTGCCAAATTAATTTGTTATAGATGCTTAATTTTCAATACGTTTTATTTATGTTTTTGTTTAGAAAACAACAATTTATTAGGAAAGTGATATGTATGCACAAATAAATCAACCGATTTAATTATTTTGAATATTGCTAAATCAAATAAAGCAGCCGATTTTGTTTAAGACAATTCAATAATTTTATTTATTCATATTCAATATTGTAGAATTTAATTATGATTAAATATTGAAGTCTTGGTAGCATAATTACAAAGGAAATTTGAGGATCTTCGGAAATTCTTTGTTATATTTGTCCAAATTACGTATAAAAATTATATTTATTTATTTACTTTCTGTTGTATTATAAGCTATATTTGATCAAAATATAATACATAAAGGTTGGTTAATATTTGGTATTAGAATCATCCATGGTTGCAATATTTGGCATAAGAATCATCCATGTTAGGTTTAGCGATAATTTTTGGCTCAATATTTGGAAATATTCTACTAAAATTGAGTTAGCTTGACTTTTTTATTTTGAATTTCAAAAATGATCGGACTTTTGCAAAAAAAAATAAAAATAAATAAATAAATAAATAAATTACTAATAAAAATAAAAGTGATTTTTTTTGCGGGATTTCAGTTACTATTACAGGTAAATTTCAAACTTTTTTATATTTATATAGATATAGATTTTGTATATATAGGTTTATAAATCATTACAAGAATACTTATTTTTAATTTACTATAAGTTCATAAACCATTACATAATACATATAGTAAATTAAATTTATATATAGTTTATTATTAGTTTATTATACAAGAGAAAAAATATATAGGGTTTATTTTTAGTTTATTATAGAATTAATACTTTTATATACACAAAATATAAATTTAAATATACACACATATATATAGGGGCGGATCAAAAGATGTCAGCTCTTAAAATGCGGACAACTCTTAGCAACTACAGACAACTAACCTTGCAACTACAGACAACTAACATAACAACTATAAACAACTAACATAGTTACTACTAACCTAGCAACTACAGAGAACTAACCTAGCAACTACTAACTTAGCAATTACATAGAACTAACTAGCAACTACAGAGAACTAACCTAGCAACTTCAGACAACTAACCTAGGAACTACACAGAATTAACCTAGCAACTACAGAGTTCTCCTGCGGTTTGTCCATCACAGGATTACGCACATCTTCCGTGAGAGAACAGACCTGCTGACTACCTTGCCAGCCTTGGCGCCACCACACCGGACCTACACACGTTTCAGACCGACACCACTGCTCCACTCCGTCTTCGCACGCTGGTACAGATGGACCAGCTTGGATACCCATCTTTCCGGTTTTAGTAGATCAGATTTTACTCTCATCAGATCATACATTTATTGCGGGCACCTGTTAGCCCGATGACAGACCTTGTATAATTTTCCTTTTCCTTTTCCTTTTCTGTTTTTGTTTTTCTTTTTGACTGTGAGACTATGTTGACTGTAGTTGTTTGATATTTTGGCCCGTTTTGGGGTCTTGATCTTTGTACAGGTTGGGGATCCAGCCTAATCCCCCGCCCTCGGGGCGTTGTTAAAAAAAATAAA